CTTGTCCAAGATCTCATCATTATAAATATTCACACCAAATTTCAAGCAAGTTGTGGATGGACGGACCAACGGACAGAGACAGGAGCGACGACAATATACGACCACATTATAATGTGAATATAGTAACTCTTATGGCCCTGTTTCACATTAATGATAAAAGCAAGTGTATACCCAGCATATGAAATATTTGTCTAATATGCTGCAATATGTTGAGTAATTAATGAATAAGTTTTGTATAATCTTCACAACATTGAAACATGCTAGTATACGAGGAGAACGATTAAACATTTTACTTGAACAAAATTTTCGACATATGTTGTCATACTTAAAACCTTTTTCTAACCTATGAGTAACATACTTTGAACCTATATATCAAACTTCGACATATACCAGCGTGTTTCTGCATACTTTCAACATAAACAAAACTTATCCATAACTTATTTGACTTCTGCAAACGTTGGCAAATCGTCATGGTGTGACAGCATTTTAAAGGAAACTGGTATATCATATTGTTATAAGTTATCATATTGTTCTATATAAGTTTATACCACTATGTATAAGTGCAATTTGTTGTGAAAACGCTAGGTATACGCTTAAATTTCTTTTAAAAATACGAAAATTGTTCAACGTATACATGCATTTTAAGGACATTTTTATACAATGCCTTATGCTGGCTAAATCATCAGGGTGTGGCAGGGCCATTACAAAGATTAGAAATTAGAATAAATTGTTTTGTAAATAACAATTTGACTAAAAACATACATGTAAAAAAGGTTTTCGATATGTATTTAAACAAAACATGTACAGGCATAAGACTGTACTTACCTTTCTAGTGATGACTGTAATTTTAGGTACAGTAGCTTCAGCGTAGGCAAATAATAATTTGGCCCCATGTCTTATTATACCACCATATTCTTGATTGGTACCTGAAGTATATATATATATTATATAATGAACTACAATATTACTACTATTTAGAGACTGCCAACAAATCTAGCACAAAGACTGCTCCAAGCAATGAGCTAAAAAAAACAGCGGAACTGAATATAGCAAACAGATATCTTAAATTATTCACTGTAGAACAAGCAAGTAAGATAGTCCATGCCCACTATGACAGTCTGTAAGAGAAATTCCTCCATGTCTATGAGAAGAAGATGCTAGTTGCAGAACTTAATGACCAGTCAGCCAAAACCAATCAGTAAATACACATTTAACCTTTCTTCCAAATTAAGGGGGAAAAAACAAGGAATAACAAAAATTTCAAAGGGAAAATCCAATGTATTTTGGTTAAATATACCTCAAACTAGAAATTTCACTGTCTATTTCTATATATGTGTTTTGTATATTTAGCATAGTCTCACTAAAATTTGAGTTGAATTTTTAACTTTCCAACGTGAATAATTGTGGATACACATGGATTTGAAGGCTAGAATTTTGACAATGAGCTGTGAACAATATTACTGATTATGTAAGCTAAGAAAATTCCTGTTTCTGAAACTAAGGTATGATTGGTCAAATGGCTAGTGGAGGTGCTCCTTTAAACATATATAATAGTGGTGTACTTAATTTTCTAAAATCAAAAATGTGAGGTAAAAACCCAAAAACCCAATTAAATTTGATCTGTACCAAGAAACTGTTCTATTAATTCAAATATTATTCAAGATGAACATTCACATCTGCACATAGCAAGAAAAAAAACCTGACATGATAAAGTTTCTAATGCAATAGGCAGAATCCCTCCTATGAAAACACAAAGACTTAAAAAAATAAACCCTGAAACTTAATATCTGATTAAAATTGAGAAATGTTTTACAGCCAATTTGAACACG